CAAATGGAACAAGGATTTGATCACTTATAGTCCCATAAGGATGAGTGATAAAGAGCCACTAATCCGAGCAGAAAAAGCCATTATCTCCTCCAAGAAGTATGGTACACATTCCTTTATCTCTAAGCCAATCATAATATATTCATGAACTAGCCATCATATGTTTAGTGATAGGAATCTTATTAGTCATGTTAGACCTACCTTAAGGATGTAAGAATAGCCAACATAGACAAGGTGAAGATAGAAGGAATAGGGAATATTAAACGATTTCATAGGGTATTTTCTATATGCCTAGTTTTGCCTCTAACCTTCTTTCTGTGAAAAAGCTACTCTTGACCTAAATTGTCAGGTGGTTTCTAGGCCTAGTGATGTTGAGTTTCAAGAATTTAAAACAGGTAAGGTGATTGGTGAAGGAAACAACCAAGGTAGTTTATACCATATCCAAAAGATCAAGCCTTAAAAACCCTCTATTTCTTCTCATTTATGCATGATCAGTAACTCATCTTTGTGTGATATCAATATTTGGAATCCTAGATTAGGCTATCCTCACTCTCGTGTATTAGAGGTCATTATGTATGATATGTCATTTAACTACTTGAAATGTGAAGCATGCATCTTAGGAAAACATTGCAAATCTGTGTTTCCGACATCATAAACCATTTATGAGAAATGTTTTGACCTAGTTCACTCTAACTTTTGGACCTTGCTTTGTATGTCTAAAGATAATCATAAGTATTTTGTCACCTTTATAGATGAAAAATCAAAATACACTTGGATCATTTTAGTGCTTTCTAAGGATCGTGTGTTAGATGTTTATGAACTTAATTTCAGTCTTATGTCACTAACCACTTTAAGACTAATGTGAAGGTACTGAGATCAGACAATGGAGAAGAATATACAAGCCATGCATTCAAGAATCATCTAGCAAGACATGGCATAGTTCATCAAAAAAACTTCCCTTATACTTCTCAGCAAAATGGAGTGGCTGAAAAAGGAAGAATAGGCATCTAATGTAGGTGGCTAGATCAATGATGTTCCATGCAAATGTTCCTAAGAGATTCTGGAATGATGTTGTGGTAACTGCACTCTATCTTATCAACCAAATTTCTACCAAAGTGTTATAAGGACATCTCTCCTTATGAAGTGTTGAAACACACCAGACCATTTATTCATCACCTCAGAGTATTTAGATGTGCCTACTTTGTGTTGATACCAGGAGAGAAAAGTAATAAGATAAAGGCAAAGATCATGAAGTCATGGATACTCATATGCACAGAAAGGATATAAGTGCTACAATCCTGAAACAAGAAGAGTACTTATATCAAGAAATGTGAAGTTTATTGAAGGAAAATAGTTTTATGGTGAGAAGAATTGGGATGAGCTCAAAGATATGTCTCAAACATTAGTCTGAGAATTATTATGGGGAGTCTTGGGGATCAGTCTAATAAAAAAAAAGAGACCTCTGTCTCAAGAGACTAAACAAGAAGCTGAATAATTCACTCATCATGATCCTGATGGAGACAATGGACATGAATCAGAAGTTCAACATGGTTCAGAAGTTCATGATCAAGATGGTATTAAAGAACAAGAAACTGAACCTGAACCAGAAGTTCAAGAAGAAGAAGAAGCGGAAACCCAAGTTCAGCCACTAAGAAAAAGAAGCGGAAACCCAAGTTCAGCCACTAAGAAAAAGTACAAGGATAAGGATGAGTACAATGAGGAGTAACATAATCTACTACAACAGTCAAGCAGTAGCCCACCCAACCTCAGCAGTGTGCTCTTTTGCACAATTTCATTCTGAGCATCAAGGCTTCATTGTTGGTTTAGCTGAAGCGTGTGTACCAAGATCATATACAGAAGCAATGAAGCTTGAGAATTGGAGAAACTCGGTTAAAGATGAAATCGATGCCATGATTATCAGGGACACTTGGTATGAAAGTGAACTTCCAAAAGGTAAGAAAGTTGTTTCAAGTAAGTGGGTGTTGACTGTCAAGTTTTTACCAAATGGCAAGGTGGAAAGGTACAAAACAAACTGGTTACAAAAAGCTTCACTCAGACATATGGAGAGGATTATGTAGATTCATTTGCACTAGTAGCCAAAAGACGTACTATCCGGATCATCTTATCACTTGCAACAAATTTGGATGGAAGTTGTGGCAGATGGATGTCAAGAATGCTTTCCTTCAAGGAGAGTTAGACGATGAAGTGTATATGCATTCACCTCCTAGTTTAGAGAAGCTGGTCAAACCCGTAAATGTTCTAAGACTCAAGAAAGCAATCTATGGACTGAAGCAATCTCCAAGAGCATGGTACCATAAGTTGAGTACTACAATGAATGGGAGAGGCTTCAGGAAATCAAAAGCTGATCACACCTTGTTTACACTCTTTGGTCCACGAGGGATTGTAGTCATCTTGATCTATGTAGATGATATAATCATCACATGCAGTGACGAAGAAAGCATCACAGAAGTCAAGATATTTCAAAAGTCTGTTTTTGATATTAAAGATTTAGGTGAATTCAAGTACTTCCTTGGGATTAAAGTATATGCCGCTCTAAAGAGGAGCTTTTCTTATCCAAAGGAAGTACACACTTGATCTTTTAACTGAGGTAGAAAACCTTGGAGGAAGATCAGTCAAAACACCACTGAAAGAAAGCTACAAAGTACTTAGAGAGGGGAAGTTTGAGGACAAAGCATATAATTATGTGAAGCAGTATAGGAGAATGGTAAGAAAACTCATTTATCTAACCTTTACAAGGCTAAACCTTGCAGTGAGCCAAGTCAGTCGACACATGCAGGCACTTAAAGTTCACCATTAGAACATAGTGGAAATGATCATGAGGTATCTAAGAGAGGCACCTGGTCATGGTGTATGGATAGCACATAGATTGTAGGCTATTGTGATGTTGATTGGACAAGAGACAAAGTTGATAAGAGATCCACAATAGGTTACTGCACATTTGTTAGAGGCAATCTAGTAACTTGGAAGAGAAAGAAACATAATGTTGTGTCTTGTTTTAGTGATGAAGCTGAGTATAGAGCTATGAGAAAGCTCACCAATGAATTGATATGGATAAAGGATTTACTTGGTGACTTGGGCATTGAGACTAGAACACCAATCACAACGTATTATGATAATTAGGCTGCCATACACATCGCCAATTACTCACTCTTCCATGAAAAACCAAGCATATTGAAGTAAACTGCTACAAAATTAGACAAGCTATAGAGAAGTAGATCATCTTACCTTGCTACACAAGAAATGAACTTGCTGACATCTTTACCACGGCAAAAAGCACTAAGGTTTGTGAGTTTATCCACTCTAAGTTGGGGCTCATAAATCTATCTTTTCACTAGCTTTTCTAACATGGAGATCTCTTCTCTTTTTCCTTGATGTGTTTTTTTTCCCACTAAATTTTGCACATTGAAGTTTTAATGAAAGAGGTTTTTCATGTTTCTAAGCTTGACCAATCCCTTGGGTCCAAGCTTGATGAAGAGTATTGAGATAAAGAACCTAAAAAAAATTGAATTATTGGAATGAATAAGACACCACATAAGGAAAAGAGTCATTGCATCTTCCAAGCCAATCCATCCACAGAGTACCCATTCACAGAAAACGACCCACACAACTTTTGGAGACAAAAAAATGTATTTGAATTTGAATATCTTGGAGTCTAATTCTGTCACATCAAGCCGTTTGCCCCTAATTTTGTATTTGTTTAATTTTTCCACTGTGTATTTAAACTCTTATAAAACCATAAATTAAGGAGAATAATCTCCCATTCTGAATCTGATACTCTCTCTTTCTCTCTTTATGTCCAGAAATTAGTTTTATGTTCTTGAGTTCATCTCCTCTATTTTTATCTAATCACATTGAATCTTCATTATTCTCTTCTATATCTCTTTGACATCTTCAATTCTAACAGTGAGTACAAACTAGGTACTTGGTTATGCAATTGAACATCCCGAGGAGATCAGTCAAATACTCTCTGATAAATATCAGCATCAATTTTTTCTAGTTAGCTATGGATTTGCTCAAATAGAACGTGTTTTTTCTTGTATTTAGGTGTTTTACAACACTGCTCAATAAGTCGTTAAGATATTACTTTGGATAAACTTGTCTTGCAAAAGAACATATTTTGGTTCTTTTTAAACTGGTACAAGTATCATAATGTGTTTCTAAATATAAATGCGTTTCAGTATCTAAACAACGTGGCAAGATATATTGAGGTAACAGGGGTTCCTCTCACCATATTTTTCATACTCTTAAGTCTCTGTTCCATCTGCATTATGGGGTACTACATGTATCATAAAATGCCATGAAGGGTAAGATCTATGGGACTATTACCTCTTGAATGTGGGTCATCCACTTTTATACTGCTTGCAAATATGAGAACTCAATGTAGCATAAGAAAGAACTTTGGTGGACACATTTTCTTAATGGGACCTGCGCCTTCTGATTTTATGCAGGCTTTAGCAACAGTTAAGAGAACTCCTGCCTACAAAAACAGACTCAAGGCCTTAGAACTCGAACGCACTGGTGGAGTATCTAGCAAGAATAATGGTCCAAAGCAGATCCATCAGTATGCTGTTCTCTTTTATTTTATAGCATTTCTGTTAGCTGAGAATGAATTTTTATTGCTGAACACAGTACCATCTTCGTTTTTGTTGGTAGGAAACTAGAGGAAGAGCTAAGCCATGAACTTGACCTACAAATCAAAATGAGCTGAAAAACCTTCAGTCTGGGAACTTCTCGGTGTGGTGTTTGGTTCATTCTTCTCCCTAACACTATCAAATCAACGCCTCTCGAATCTGGTGAACTCGAACCTTTAGTGCCTCTCGACACGTGGACTAAACTCGGTATCCTTCTACCCTATGCTCCACACCAGTGGATGAAAGATTTGACTCTAATATAATGTGATGATTGTCAGACGTATATAAGAATGAAGATCTGGTACAGAGAAGGCTATGGGAGAAGCAGAATCTTGAGAACTAGTATGCAGAATCACGACAAGCCAGAGGCATTTTTGTTAGCATTGTTACTTCGAATGTTTTATCATATGATATACCTAATAAACAAACAAACCAGTGGGCAAAGTCCGGTTTTGGCTCTCAAGTTTGATTAACCAATGTGCTCAGTTCTATGTTTAAAGCTATCTTTGATACTGAAATTTGAATTCTAACACAAAAGGTTATTATACCTTCATGTTCACGCAATAAACACAAAAGGAAACAAAATATTTGAACTTCATCATGATCACCCTTGAAGAGGGAAGCTTTTGTTTGTTATTACTAGAAACAAAAGAGACAGGTACAGAGTTATAGTACATTACTGAGATCGTTAAGAAAGCTCACGCTATGACAGTCTCCCCTGGTTATGCTTGCAGAATTGGTTATACATTGCTTTGCTTATACATCTTGGTGTCCAACACTTGCTTCCCGCACATGGCACACACTCCTGCACAATCATGAATGGAGAGCCAAATCCATTACTTAGCTGAGTTACTCCTTTATATGGCTATCTAACTATTAGAGGTAATACAACAGATTTGGTAGATGTGATTAGTAAATTTACCTTTGCTATAGGCACATGTGTGACAATATTTACCATCTTGATGCACTTGCTGCTTGCAGATCGTGCACTTCGTGGTAGCAGTGCCGTAAGGTGTCCATCTATAAAGCAGAGAAACATTACAAGATAAAATTAGAAGAGCAGCCAACGAGAACAATAAGCCCTTTAAATCATTATCGACAAATATACTTAGTTCTTTGATAACGAGAACTGCTAGACGTGAATAATAAGTTTTTATACAGTCATTTGATCTTCCTAAACACATACCAATGAATCTACGAAAACCTAAACAAAAAGAAACCAATACTCAATCTAACAAACATCCCATGAGAACTTCTACACCAAGTAATGCATTAGTGATTCTTAGAAGAAACCTACATGAAAACAAAACAACACTCAAACTAGGACAGAACTTGTACATCTACTAATGACTATTAGAAGAGCATACATGAAACAAACCAATATTCAGCCTACAAAACATCGCAAAGCTAACACATTGATGTATCTACTTTCTACATTATTAAGGAAGACTGAACCATGAAAAAAAAAAAAAACAGATACTCAACTCAAGAAACATAATAAATCGCAAAACTTCAAACTTATTGTTGTGTCCCATGAAAACTTGTAGATCTACTAATGATTCTTAGAAGAGCCCTACATGAAACAAACCCAATACCACAAAACATAAAACATCTCAAAGCCTACACCTTTATGGCTATTTCCATGAAAACTTATACATCTGCTAATTATTCTTAGAAGAGGCCTACATGAAACAAACCCAATACTACAAACATCTTAAAGCTTACACCTTTATTGGCTATTTCCATGAAAAAACTTGTACATCTACTAATGATTCTTAGAGAAATACTCAGCCTATATTACACCTCAACGGTGGCTAATTCGATGCTTCTATATAGTTAAGGAAGGAAACCTGTTCTTCTTGGAGAGAAGTTTGTTCTCATTGATTTTGCGGCCACCGCCTTCGGTTACATTACGAGCACCATCCTTCCACTTATCTGGTACTATCACCTTCGATAACTTCTTCTCACCTATAACAAGCAAAGACACAAAAGCATCATGTTTTGAACAGATCTGAGAAACCAAATCGAATCAGAAATTCACAAGATCGATTGGATTCGAGAGTATGGAATTGAAGATCTGAGATGAAGGAAGAGGAGATTGTTGAAAGGGCTTACACTTATCGCACACCATCTTCGAGATTGTTGAAGAAAACCCTAACGCCCAATTCGATTCGACACGAGAGAGAGAAACTCACTTATTAACTTTTTTTTCTTTTTATGCTTCCCTTTTGGAAAGTCTGGTAACCGTTTGTCGGTTAAAACGCGCGACTTAAAGGCGAAACCGCGTTTTGTTTAAGCGGCACCCGCAAAATGCTAAATAGCGACCATAGCATCAAAATTCTTAAACATTACTAAAGTAAAATATTAATTCTTTTTTTTTGACTAAAAAATATTAATTCTTTAGCCTATAATAATTTGTAGTTATTTGTTTGTATGGTTTTGTTTATGACTTTGTAATATTGATTTACTGAACTGAACCTTTAGCCGACAAAAAAAATAATTACAATTATTTTGGAAATAATTTCATATATTTTAGGATGCGAAAATTAAAAAATATAAACAGGAAATATATTGAGGAATTACAAATTAGTTTCTTTAAGTTCCAACATATGTATAAAAAAACAACCCTTCATATAATATAAATCAAAGTGATGATTAATCATCATAATCATTATCATGATCATACACATGAGCATCATAATCTTCTCCACATAATACTTTAGGCAGAGGACGAGTTTGATCTTACGAGATATAGTCTTCCTTATCTTCAGCCCACCAAGCCATTGCTTGTTCCTTACGGCGACCTTTAGATTTGTTGGCCGACTTTTTAGCCGGTGACACATGACAACCACTGCACTTGGACTTTTCACATTTTCCGGTGAATTTCGAGTGATTAGTCGGTTTTGATGGCACTTTGGCAAATGCTCCAAAAGCTGGTGGTGAATCAAACCGGTTCACGAATTGGTTTGCGGGTCGTGGATTAAACTCTGAAGGAAGAATCATCCACGTCCGAACTACACCGTGTTGGCGACCTTCTCTCTTCATTTTTTTCTTATTATTTTGACTTGAGAGTTGATTCATTATAGGGTCTAACAATTTCAACATATATAGAGAGACATGTGCTTGGGGAGCACTGCGTACCAAATGTGTTTGGGGCTCAAGAAAATGTGTATGGTCAACTGTACTTGTACACCAAGAACTTCTCATCATTTTAATCTTTTATTATTGAGGGTTTGATTTTTGTTTTGGTCAGCATTACGTGGGGGACTTCTTATAAGTGTTTTCAAAATATTGAAACCACATTGTCGATTGGTTTTGGTTTTTAACTTTTGATCTTTAGTTTTTGGTTTTAAAATTTTGACTTCTGGTTTTGCACTAGATTTAGTGATAATTTTAGATTTTAGGTTTAGATTTTGCTTTTCTTTTTTGAATTCTGATTTATTTTCTTGACATTCTTAGTTTTTCTAAAATTTGATGAATAATTTTTATATGTCATTTAAAAATAACTTAACATTTATTTTCTTTTACAAAAAAACTTAAAATTATTAAAACAAAATATTATAAATTTTAATAAAAATTAATACCAATAGATTATTACAAAACATGTAACATTTACTAAAATATATTTTAAATAAGTAATTTAATTTCATTGATAAGTTTTAGAAAATATTCTATATATAAATGATTTGCCAGCCCTTATTTGCTTATAGTACTTATCATTTTTCATTTATTTCTTCAGCATTGCGGGAAAAATGCACAACATCATCATGAAAATATCATGTTTCTTCAAGATCGTAACAAGCTTATTTTCTTCTGCCAATAAGGATCTGGAATACAGTTTGGAGCTGAGGGTTTGCGGTGGGGTTCTTGTACACTGTGGTTGGATTGCTCTTGGCGTTGCTACCAGAGCGGTGACAAGGGTTTTGTATGCCCTAGGCCAAAAATAAATATTTAACTTATAACAAATTGTTTTGCGAAAAAGAAAAATATGCAAGGACTAATGCGATTTTTTTTCTGTAAACTAAAAGTTTCATAGGAAAATTTACTCAAAAACAATTCTTACAATGTCAGCTTGAAAATGTAATAAATCAAAATATTATTTTTAATAAAAATTATATTTACTAATATTTTTCAATCACAAAATTATTTTACAATTTTAGGATAAAGAATAATATATTAAAACTTCTAAAGATAGTAATATTGATTTCAGTTCAAAAAGAATATGATTCTATCATATGTTTTCATAACATATAAAAATAACATATGGAAGTACAATAATAAATTAAATATCTTTGTAAATGTAGGCTAGTGGTAGTTAATCAGTTTTTAGAATCAAATTGTGATTGTAGAAAAAATATTAAAACTATTAGTTGTAATTTTGATTTAAGTTTAAATAAAAACTTAACAAACAGATTTCAAGAGATCATACAAAATAAAGTTCTACAAATATGCCCTATATATAAATTTTGCATTAGATGATGCCCTAAGCCCGGCGCTCTTTCCGCTTTAGTATAAGCTTCCCACTTTTGTATTGTCGATTTTATATTTTATTAAAAATCCAAAGGGCAATAAAAAGAAGCCCAAACACGCAACACATGACTAAGCACACGTGTAGTTCAGCGAATTTAGGTTCAGCTATATGTGGTTAGAGAAGAGAAGACCATGCAAATCTCAAACAGTCGTGCCCCTCAGCCGGTTGACTTTCGTACATGACACTTATATTGGAGAGTGGAGAAGGATTGCACTTCTCAACACGGCTATCAAATACAAAAGCTCTGTCAAGTCAAGAGACATACGTACGTTATGACTAACAGGATGTCAGGATCATGGCCTCTTGGGCCAAAGAATCCCAAGAAGCAAAGAATCTAAGAGTGATTCACTGCTTCAGCCTTCAGAGGAGTAAGCTGGCCGAAGAGGCAAAAGACTATTGCTTTGGCAAGATCAGGTCTGAAACTCATGTTCCATCTCCTGTTTTTTCTTCTTCCCCATCTTCTGTTTCAATCTTTCTTTTTTTTTTATCGACAAACTCATAATCTCAAACTAAGTGTTAGACGTAAAAGGATTACTCAAAAGAAGGTGAATGTAGTAAGATTCTAACGGAGAGAAAATAACGTTCGTATATTTGCAGTGTTGTTAAGTTAACAGTACTTGTAACTTCTATTTTTTGATAAAACAGTACTTGTAATTACTTTGAGGTGTTTATGAGCCTGTTTGTTTCACCATCCAAATGACTCATCTGGATGGAGATGAGAATTTCGTTTGTTTAGATACTTAAAGTACAACTCATCTAAATGGATTATCCAGATGACATTAAAATTTTACGCTTAATTTTTAAATCCATCTGGATGGACCAATTTGAACCATCTGGAGGGAGATGGTTCTTCCAAAATTATATAATGTTTATTATATGCTTTTATATAATTCATAAATTACAAACCTAAACATATTATTATTTTGTAACTTACATGATAAAACCACATTTTCTCAAATGACAAAACCGCATTTTCCACCAAAACCGTAAAAACACGTTTTTCCGCAAAAACTGCAAAAACGCGTTTTTCCGCCAAAATCGCAATAATGGATTTCATGCCAAGACCGCAAAAATATGTTTTTCCGCCACAACCGTGAAAACGATTTTTTCCCAGCTAAAACCGCAAAAATGTGTTTCCCGCAAAAACGCATTTTCCCGCCAAAATCTTAAAAACACGTTTTCTCGCTAAAACTGCAAAAACTCATTTTCCCGCCAAAACCGCAAAACACGTTTTCCTACCAAAACTGCAGAAGCCCGTTTTTCCACCAAGCCGCATTTTTCCGCTAAAATCGCAAAAACGCGTTTCCCATCAAAACCGCAAAATACGTTTTTCTGCCAAAACCGCAAAAACACGTTTTCCACAAAAACGCGTTTTCCGAAAAAATGCATTTTCAGCTAAAATCGTAAAAACGTGTTTTCCCGCTATAACCGCAAAAACGCATTTTCCCATCAAAACCGCAAAAATGCGTTTTCCAACCAAAACATGTTTTTCGCCAAAACCACAAAGCCCTGTTTTTCTTCTCGTAAAAACCTGTTTTTCCGTCATATCCGCAAAAATGCGTTTCCGCGTCAAAATTATAAAAGTTAATGTATTTAAAATTAATATCATACATATGTCTAAATCAAAACAAGGGTATTTTAGTAATTTCTTTACCAAACTCATCTAGATGGAGAAGAAAAACAGAGAAACAAACATGAGTTCATCTAGATGATCCTTCTAGATGGACCATCTGGATGGACAAACAACTAATTTAAAAAATGTGGTCTATATGTGGATGGACCATCTAGATGAATCATCTATGGATTAGATGGATGGAGATAATAGATGGTGAAACAAACAACACCTATGAGTTTGAGATTGTAGACGACACTTTTTCAAGGTTGGAGCAACCAAAATCCTATATTAACCATGAAAAGATTGGTCCTCAAACAACACCTATGAGTTTGAGATTGTAGACGACACTTTTTCAAGGTTGGAGCAACCAAAATCCTATATTAACCATGAAAAGATTGGTCCTCTTCTCCAGATTCATGCCTACCGGATCACCCCATCCAGTAACCATAATAACTACACTACATGAGAGGTTCTTAAAGGAGTTAAGCTGACAAGGAGCTCAAAGAATCCTTTGTCATTGTGGAGCTTATCTATCTAAAATATCTATCAAGATTAGTTTCTCCATAATGAATATAACTTCAGCGTCACGTGTCGTCCAGGAACAAGTGAAGTAGACGAAATCACTGCATTTATAAACCAAAGTTTTATTTTATTTTTAAATTTAATTTATCCAAACTAAACCTTAACCGTGTCCATATATATTTAATACGTACCACCCTCTCCTCAATTGACCTAGCCGCAAAAGTCATGGTGATCTCCTCTGCTCCATCTTGTTCTTCAACTCTCTCCCATCATGTATTCATTCATATATTTCTTCTTCTTGTTGTTCTTATTATATGTCTTTCTTCACTCTTCTCAGGTTCGTGCTTTTGATGTCTGATCTGAGACGTAACCACGTTACTGAGGTGAATCAACAAACACCACCTAAGTAGACAGTATTAATGTTTTCTCTGGCGATAGTTCACCGGGATGGTGTGAAACTAAGTTTTTTCTCCTTCTACTTCGTCAAGCAACCAGCTTACAATGGTCCCAACATCAAATCCAAGATAAATGAGGCGGATTCCGA